TAATAATAATAATAATAATAATAATAGCAACAAGGATAATCACAATAGATAGCATTTTTGCGTAGCGCTAATTCCGGCTCAACAGCAAGCTCTCACTGCGCTTTACAATCTATATTATTATTATTATTTCCCAAGTAGGCCAGATAGCATTCTGAAACAATAATCTCAATTTTCTGGACAGCATACAATGCAAGCTGCCATTTTAAAGGTGCTATACACTAACATCTGACAAGATCTTTCCCTGTATATGGTCGGGTACCCATTTCCACCTGGGTGAAGTGAGGAAAATTTGTGTAACGTGCCTTTGCCAAGGACACGGTGTCGGGCAAAAGGCTCGAACCCTGAACTCGCAGCCTCAGGATTACGAGTCCGGTAGCCTAAGCACTAGACTACCGGGCTCATGGATGGCGCGCTGTTTTGGATTACTTTTTTAAAAAAAAGTATTAATAATAATGCTTCGTTATTCAAACAAATTATTCAGTTGTATTTTCTGTATCTCAAACTTACTCGTAAACGCCGAGGCAACTAAAGGCATACAAAAAGATAATAAATGCAAATGTATGTTTTCTGATTTTGCGAATAACGGTTCGGAATGCGGTCAGCTATGTACTCTGCTTTTTCAAAGAGTTGTACCCTAAACGTCGTTTCTAGTTTTAGTAAGAGTGTTACTGCACTTGCAACACAATAAGTTCATATAAGTGTCGTAGATTAGAGGTGTTACAAGAGAGTATCAAACACAAAAAAAGAAGGAGGGGAGATAGAGACGATATATTTTTATAGGAAAGAAGGAGCAAAACATACCAGAGCACCCGCCAACCGCCCACCCAAACGTCGCGGGTTCGAATCCTGTATTTGGCAATGTTAGTACAAAAAAACCGACAGGAAAATACAGTTGAACATGTTAAAGAGGATCACATTATTGTCGAGGAGAAAAGTGGTTATCTTAAACAGATGATCCTCTTGGACAGTTGGATTATGATATACAACAACAGAACTTAATAAAAAAAAGATTACCCGCCCCCCTCCAAAAATAAATAAATCAATTATTTAAAAAAACAACCCCCCCCCCCCCCCCCCACACACACATATACACACACACACACAGACAAACAGTTATCAGCCCCCCTCGACACAGGAAAAGAGATGAGTGTGGACAGGTAGCCCTCTTTTATCTTGTCATCTATAACACCCCCCCCCCCCCACACACACATGGAGAAATGGGAAGTGGTCGTCTGTACAGGTGATTGTCTTTGACATGAGGTTCTTAGCGCAAGCTTCACTGCACAATCGAACCTGTTCTTTTAGCTTAGTTTTAGTAAGAGTTTTACGGCACTTGCAACACAATAAAGTCATATCAGTGCCGAAGATTAGAGGTGTTACAAGCGAGTAACAAACACACACACAAAAAAGAAAGAGGAGAGATCAGAACGATATATATTTGATAGGAAGGAGCAAACCACACCAGAGCACCCACCAACCACCCATGAACCTGTCCTTAACGATATTCATTGTCAAAGAGAAAAATTATCATCTGAGACAGGTGGTCATTGTAGACCGTGTCACTATGGCATAGTGAAAAAACATTCCGCTCGATGAGGGGGGTTGAGGGGAGTGGACCTTTGTACAGGTGATTCTCATGGACTGGCGGTGGTTAGAACAGGTATGACTCTAATATAATAATATTCCCCTATATTATCACTGCGTTCCCTCTTCAAATACACATGCGAAGAGCGAAAAATAAGTATTAGTAAGCGTTTTACGGCACTTGCAACACAATATGGTCATATAAGTGCCGAAGATTAGAGGTTTTACAAGAGAGTAACAAACACAAAACAAGATGGAGGGGAGATAAAGACGATAGAGGTTTGATAGGAAAGAAGAAGTAAACCACACCAGAGCACCCGCCAACCACCCACGCGAAAAATAAGTGGCTTTGTGCTTGTCATAATTGTTGTAGCAGGTACGGGACAAAAAAGAAAAGCACATTGACACGAAATCGGGCATTTAGTTCAAGAAAACAAGCAAGTGAGACAAATGGATAATATATAACATCTGGAGAGCAAAAGTGAAAAAAAAGCTTTCCTTGTGATATCTGTTTATCATACGGTTGCAGACATTTAGTATTTAGAGTATAAATGACAAAGACGAGCCTCACAGACGGACACTCACACATACACATATGTACATACACTGGCAAAGTGTGTGTATGTGTGTGTGTGTGTGTGTGTGTGTGTGTGTGTGTGTGTGTGTGTGTGTGT